CTTTTCCTTCTCAGTACAAAATTTGGATGTGTGGAAAATCTAATAATTTTAGAGTAGTTTCTTTGCTTCGTTAAAATATTCAATACTATAACTGGTGCAATATTGGAGCCTACAGAGTTCAAAGGGTGAAACCACTTTCAAAAGAAACGGTTCATATAGACTTCCCTAGTAAAATTGGGTGTGTGGAAAATCTAATAATTTTAGGGTAGTTCCTTTGATTCATTAAAATATTCAATATTATGACTGGTGCAGCATTGGAACCTACAGAGTACAAAAGGTCAAGTTACTGAATTGTCCCCAGAAAACTGACGTTTTATAGCTGTATATTACAATGTCGTAAAGGGTTAACCGTTTGAATGTTGCGGAAGTGCTATTGATCAGTATCAATTATAATTTTCTTACCATATTTTTCAAGAAACAAATCAAAGTAAATTTATTTGAATAAATGTTATTTTTTGATATTTTTTGTAATAACAATATTTGTGATCTCATTAGATAACTACTCTTATTAATTCTTTTGCAAACACACCCAATCACTTCCATTTTTGGTAAATGTCCACGAAAGTTGTTTAGCATCGAAACGGTTAATATCATGCGGTTCGCAGTAGTTTCCATTGAACTGTCGGTTACACGTCCTTTCGGAGGACGATCGAGGAAATAACGCTGCCCGTGTCATTGTTTCTCCGAGCATGCATCGCCGCACGGAGACAAGCTGCAGGTGTTGGCAGATAATGACCAGGGCATCCGTACATCCGCTAATTCCGGATGCTAGCTTCAGAACTCCTGCAGGAGCGGAATCCTGTCTGGAGTTTCAGTTATCAGTCGATGCGGCCGCCGGTCGGTTGTACCGGGCAGGCCGGTAATTGGTGTCTGAAAGCTGTTTTCAGGCGGAAACCAATCGTCCTACTCGACGAAAGTTTCACGGCTACTCCGGCCGGAGTTTCCTACGGCTGTCCGAGCCATCGCGCGAGTTACAATCGCCCGACCGGCGAGATGGCAACGGTGACTGGTCGACGGAAAGAAAAATTCGGAGCGGCGGAACGTGAAAATTGTCGAACACCGTTCGAGTCGTGTTCTCTGGTTTCGACAAGAAACCGCGACAGTCTCTTTCGCCACTGGAACAATGGGAACTGTGAAAGTTGTTTCAGATAGGGTCTCGAGAGTCGAATGATCGTGTTTAGATCCTAAAGAATTTATAAATAGTTTTCTAGTGTTGCTTAATATTTGCCTTTCTATTTGATTGTAACGTTTGACGAGTTTGATTTGGAATAAATTGATGATAATATAATTGAATAGAAAATTATTCTGGATAGAATAGGATTAGAGGAATCTAGGATAGACTGGAATTTATTTAACCCTTAGCACTCCAGATGGGTTTTGTAATCTATCGGCAACTGCAACTAATTTTTATAGTATCCCTAGAGAAAATGAAAAGTGCAATAACATTTAAATCTTTTATTTTCCTCAGTGCAAAATTTGGATGTGTGAAAAATCTAATAATTAGGTAGGTTCTTTGAGATTCATTAAAATATCTAATATTATTTCTGGCGCAATATTGGAGCCTACAGAGTTCAAAGGGTTAATAGAATTTGATGAAGAAATAGTCAGTAGTTCATTCTGAAATTATTACGATATTTCGAATTATTCGAATGATTCGACAGCGATAGTTTTTTTACTGATTCTCCAATACTCTTAGTTTTTATGTGTGACTTTAGGCATAGAATTTGTCTAGTATACCGTAGCTCCTAGAATTCCCGACACTTTTTATTCAGAGGCATAATACCTTCAATCGAATTCAGCGTGCAGTTGTACAAGAGAAATTGCATTCTCCAATATTCTTAGTTTTTATGTGTCACCCTACGCGTGAGACTTGTCTAGGATGCCGTAGCTCCCAGAATTCCGCGACACTTTTTATTCAGAGGCATAATACCTTCAATTGAATTTAGCGTGCAATTGTACAAGAGAAATTGCATTCCGCCCCCTGAATGTAAGAGTCGCAGCTAGAGAATCGGCTGGCAGCCGAGCCGAACGAGGTGAAAAAGTAGAGATTAAGAAGTAGAGCCGAGCGTTCCTTATCTTGTAACAGTGCCAAGCCTGGCGTGGTATGGGGCAACGGAGAACATTAAGAGATAAAAGATTCCTCGTCACGGAATTTACGACCAATTTCGTTCCGGAGCACCATTCGCGGACGCTTACAACGGGTTTCGAGGTTTCCCATTCACTTCGACACGACATCAATTACATCGACGCTCGCCCCCTTTCACGGGAACCGAAATGTACTCCTGCAAAACATAGTCGCTCCTTTTGTTAACTAAAAACAGATATAGACATATATGCGGGGATGGATGTGTTCGAGTGTGAACATTGATTTATTCACGAGCGACGAACGTGTGTGCAATAGACGGATGACGATGAAATAGGAATATTCTAGACATTGATTTTCTCTAATATTGATTTTTTAACGACGTTCGTTTTTAACGCGTTCCGTGCCACGGAAATTTTGGTCATATTTTGGTTATGAACTGTATTGATTTTTTAAATAAAATATTGAGTTATATTGAAGCTCCTTTTTAATTTTATATATTTTGATATTGTTTGTTGATGCTTTCGATGCATTGTAACGTATACAGTTGACCATGTGTCCTTTAAAAATATTTTGTTGTAAAAATTAGCGTATTAAGGAATCTAGAATACTCCAAATTTAAATGGAGTTAATGTATGGCAATGGAAGAATATTCTAGAAAATCTACGAGTGAGCTGAGAGCATCCGAGTATACATATTATACGCATAGTTTGATTTTGAATCATTTTATTGTATTCTTCGCGACTCAAAATAAAATGATTACAAATCAAACTATTCGTATAATATATATACACTCGAATGCTCTCATCTCACTCGCAGATTTTCCAGAATATCCTTCCATTACCATGCATTAACTCCGCGTACATTTGGAATATTCTGGATTCATTAAAAACGAACGTCGTTGACGTAAAAAATCAATATTAGAACATTCCCATTTCATCGTGTCATCCGTCTATTGTACACATTCATCACTCGTCAATAAATCAATCTTCACTCGAATACGTCCATTCGTGTCGCGAAGGAAACATACTGATTTAATGAAACATTCTCTTTCCCCCGCAAAACGTACACCCGACGTTCCCGAAAAACGGGAAAAATACCTGTCGCAAATGGACGAACGGGAACGCCGAGATTGGCGGTTTATCCGGCGCAGGACCGGCCAATGAAATTCAATATTTTTATTAATTCGTCGGCGAAACAACGGGGTCCGATAGAATATATAGCGTTTCGCGTATCGAAACGGCCGGTTCGTTCCCGTCGAATTGCTCGCGTGTAAAATAAACTGCGCGCGATAAAGGCTAATTTATAACCGTCCGAACAGAAAGCCCCGAAACAAGATGACACCGCGATTCTGGGCCACAGCCGGCGTCTCTGAGAGGCTGAGCATCGCCCGTCCCCGTTGTTTGCCGTTGCGTAGTCTGCGGTGCACGCGCGCCGTGTTATGCAGCCCGAAACTGCATTATGCATTTAGCGTGCTCGCCGTGGACGCCGGATTAACGACGAGATCGCTGACGGACAATGAAAGAAAATTGAAGCTTGATGAACCTCGATTAATTGGACTGTTCGCCGCGCTGTTTCGATTTTCGTGAAATTTGGTCGAGCCGTTTCGCAGCGGAGATTACACGGAGAAATGCGTTCACCAGTGAAACAAGTCAGTAATTAGTGAGACAAGGGATAGTATATGTATCAATTGTGTTAACCCTCTATGGGCCGAATTTTGTTTCGCGAATGTAACAAAATTTATGCAGCATGAAATTAATAAATATCAACGTATGAACACAAATTAACAATGTAATTAGCAATAATTTTATTGAAACGAATATATTTTGTAACTTTGAAGTTACAATGACGTTGAACGTAAACGCCTCTGTGTACAAACGTTTGAGTTGATTAATTATTTAATGTCGTTCGTACTTTTGCAATAAAGAATTAAATAAATCAATTTAACCCGGTATATTGATGTGTGACTTCAAAGTCACATGAGCCTATAGAGGGTTAAATATAGAAGATTGATCGTTGTATATTTCGATGAACGTAGGACAATTCGTTAGGATTCGGAGTGAACTAAGAGTAAACTTAGAATAAACAAAGTGGCTCTCAGATTTTGTAAGATTCAAGATCGATGATCTAACTAGCAGTAGTTTCTTTGTATTCCAAGAAGGAAGCTCGGACGTGTTTCCCATTTCAGTGGGGTGCTCTAAATAAGTAGAAAGTCCAGTCAGATTCGTGTTCTATGCACGAAAGTCTGATTGTTTGCGTCGCGTTGACGTGCCGGGCCAACGGTGCATCTACATGCGAGTCGGAAGGCTTGTATTCGTCGCATGTGTAGCTCGGGAAGCGCAGTGACGTACAGGGATTTTTTGTGCGACAGAAATAGAGTACTAACCCTTTGCACTTGGACATTTCAAATAACTTAAGAGTTCATTTCTGTAGAGGAACGTTGTAGAATCTAAAATTTTGTTTCGAACAAGGAAAATTACAAGTATACATGGATTCACGTCTTTTAATTTGTTCTGTCAATTTCCCATATTCGAACAGAAAGAACTTTACAATTTGAGAGCAGAGCCAACGGAGTGCAAAAGGCTAATACATTGTTACTGGTGGAACTAGTGGAAAAACCTTGCATTAGTCAGACAATCTTGCTTTCAACGCAATACTAGATCAATTGTAAATACTCGATAAGAAAATGAATACTTCCAATATCAAACAAGTAAAACAGATAGCTCTAGCAAGCAATACAAGTAGAACAGGTCAACCATTGATCAGCCAATCCCATATTATCTTCCCCAACAGAATTAACCCAGCTAAACTTTCCTATTATATTCCACAGTATTTTATCGATTATCCGCTGTTTGCTCACAATTATACGGCGAACGTCCACACGCTCAACAAAGTTGTTCTTCAAACGATGTTCCAGGTCCATAGAACGTGCCAGGTCGGAACGATGTGAGAGGGCTATATGGGTGAACACCAAACAGGCGAGCGACACTCGACGAAATCACGAACACGTGGCGAGACGTGAAGCGGGGTGAGTCTGATCACAATGAAATATCGGTCGTATATTTACACGATACACGATGCATCGGCGGCAGGCCACAATGAAACGTCGTGCGCGCTGAATCCTTAACCCTTTGCACTCGGAAATTTCTCACTAGCAATATTTAACATTTTTTGACCAGGCGAACACGATATTCTTTGAAATTAACTCGAAGGGAAAACGTGAGTTTATTACGGAACAAAGCTATTTTATTCCAATATTTCACGTTTTGGGACGTTATACAAAGTTCAACATTAAATATCATATTTTATAGTGTAGTATCTAGAATTTTTAGTGTAGGTTAAAGTATTTTTAAGAAGAGTGAATGTAAGAATGAGTGTGAGCGAAGGACAGGCTGTAAAACGGTCGAGGGAAAGTGGCCTGCACAACGTCGCGGACGCAAGATTGCAGGACCAGCTTTCCAAGGGTGCATGCGAGTATTTGTGATGAGTGCGAGTGAGAAGAATGCTTGTGGGGGAGAGAATGATTTTTGGGAGAGAATGTCTGTAAAAGAGTGGTAAGAGAGTGGCGAGGAGAGTCGTGTGTTGGCCTTCGTGGCATTGGGTTGTATTTTTACGTATTGTCCGTGTTGTTTCCATATTTCATTAAATACACATATTTATTCCTAGTTCTCGATTACTGAAGATCCACCTTTCCACTATCTATAATATAGTAGCCACACTGCAATAGTTTCACTGCGTCAAATCAAGTGGTGACTGAGAGTCACCTCCCAAGTGCAAAGGGTTAACCTTTCAGGTACGGTACGCCACTATATTGTTATGGAACACCATAGTTGCTTTCGCACCAATTCGGAAAATACGTAAAGAAATAATTTATTCATTTCGAACTCTATTCCCAAGTATCATTTCCATGTCGTAGTGGAAGTCGTCATGAACGGTTTTTGTATGACTGGTTTTGGTACCTAAAAGGTTAATGGCGCGTCTTAGACAGTGCATTAGCCGGCGTCGTACGGCTTCCCGCTAAGAAATTGGATTTTTAGACGCCACCTGGCCACGGGGTTACCGGTCGCGGGAGATCCCAGGGCTGAAGATAAACGGGCGCGGCATTCGGATAAATAAAATTCCCTAGAAGCCCCGGCGGAGCCTTGAATTTCCACGATCGAGCTGCGCCGGTATTGAGTTTCGGCTCACGTATCTTAGCCGGGAAGCCAGTGGATGACGAATAAAGAATGGAAACCGAGGCGACCGTAAAGAGTTTCGTTGCCAACGTTCGACGAATAAAGTCTCTTCTTCCTTCCCTTTGTCTCTTCTGCTCCTCCGTCTCTCGCGTTTCCCTGCGCCCTCGTCTCGCTTGTAAATCTTGGCAACGAGCGAAGGGAACGCGAATGATTTCCGTAAAGAAGTAATGGAATGTTTATGTGATTGGAACCGTGATTGATGATGGTGATCGAGGGAGAAATAAGTTTGTTGTATTGATATCTGGGGGAAAGGAACTGACAGTTAGGTTAAATTTTGCTGAGATTGTATTTTTAATATATGTAAGTGAGTTTGTGTGTTTGTAGTTTAACCCTTTGCACTCGAAAGTTTTTCACTGGAAGTAACATTTTTCGACGAGATACAGACGACGCCGTTTCAAACTAATTTAACGATAATTCACAGATTAAGCGACGAAGTAATTTTATTTTAATATTTCCTATAGCAATACAAAGTTCCATTTAAAATACTAAATATTCAATTTCGTAGTTTTGTATCAAATCAAGTGAAGAGTTACCTCTCGAGTGCAAAGGGTTAAGACTTTTTGTAGAGTTGGGGATGAAAGATTGTAAGATTGGCAGGATATCTTTTGAGCAAGGACATAGCGATCGTGGAGGAGCAAGGGTTCCTTGTTACCTTTATCGAGCAACGTCACGTTTGGAACGAAAGGTTCCGCCGGAATTTGAGTCAGTTTGTTGAGCAGAACGTGAATAATTTCCGACGGAATTCCTGGCTAACCGAAATGTTCGGGCTTCGATTCCAATCGCGAAACAACTAGCCCTGTAATACATTTCCAAAATAATGGGTGTCGAACGTGCTTCCTGGTTTTCGAACTCCCGTGGAACGCGTCGCTTCGGAATTGTTGCCCGGCTATTGCCGTGGCCGAGTGGCTGGCATATTCAAATGACATTTATCTCTTGTGAAATGTTGCTCGTCAAGGGGCAAGTAGATTAAACCTACCTACGATCAGCCAAAGAGACGAGCTGATAAACTATACAGAATACGGACGAATTTCCGTATGCATGAAAGGGGAACAATGTTAGGACTAAGTAAACTGTCCTTCGTGAAACAGTGGTTTCTACAGCGCAAGTAGAATAGGTCCATGGTCAGCCAAAGAAGAGAGACGACGCAGCGTGTAGAACAGAAGACGGTTCTGCATATGCATGGAAAGGAAACAGTGTTCGGTTAGTCAGGACTATGTAAATTACAATTTACAAGTTCCAGTAGAACGAGGTCTGTGCATGATCAGACGAACCCTGGGAAAGCCCTCTCCTCTTCTGCAGATGGAATAAGGATTATCCCCGGGTAAATTAGGGCAACTAGAGCAGCATGTCGTCGAGGAAATGGAACGTGGGATATCTGTGCTCAGGCCGGACAATTAGGGGATCCGGTTAATTAAACAAGTTAAATAAGATCTTACTCAGTCAGACTAATATCGCGGAACCTCTACATGATTTGATAACCGAATACTAGCCGCCCCCGAACGGAGGAGCACGGCAGAGCAAGGTTCGTTCTTTAAGGGGAACGAGCCAGTATTAGTCAGACAATGTTCCTATTATCGTCGAACGTTATCGAATCTTCCGAGTTACGTAGCTAAGGGCCTGTGTTCAACTTAGTTCACTAACTTCCTGTGTTCCCGGTCGCTGCTACAGAGGGAGAAATATTGGTAGTTCGAAGATGCCTAACCTTAGTCAAAGTTAATGTAACGCAGACTTTTGATACACCTGACTTGAACTTGGAGCAAACTTAACGCGAAGGTTATTTGCGCCTAATACAGATCCGTATCAAGCTTGCTAATCAGTAAACTTGCTCAGACTTCACTTGGATTTAACCTTAACCTTGTCATTGACATGTAGACTTAGAATTACTGTACACTCTTTTTAATTCTTGTCTACCTTTCTTTAACACTAACTACTTTACCAATAAAAATGACTGATTTCGATTTGTTTCACAATCATTGATATCTTAAAAGCATTGAATATTCGAAATGATCTTGTCTACCTAACTTTCTTTAACACTAACTACCGTGCCAGTCAAAATTACAGGTTTCGATTTGTTTCACAATAATTGATATCTTAAAAGCATTGAATATTCGAAATGATCTTGTCTACCTACCATTCTTTAACACTAGACTATCGTACCAGTCAAAATGGTTTCGATTTGTTTCACAATAATTGATATCTTAAAAGCATTGAATATTCGAAATGACCTTGAACATAAATAGCTTTGACTTGAACACTACAATGAATCTCTGAAGAAACCGAAAATAATCTATTGTTAGAATTTTTATAAATCCTCGGTAGTTGCAGTGTTAAAACTGCTCCCCAAAGTTTCAAATTAAAGCTGAGGCAAATATAAACCAACCTGAAACTTCTCACTAACACAATATTAGAAATACTCCGACGCTGTTTAGCGAAGCTAAACATCCGCAACATCTACGCGCAAGGCAATTCACAATGACCTTGACATTAAGCACACTCCGCTGCCATCGGCGCCAGCGAGGTAACCGCGCTTCCCGCAATTACCAAACTATTCCCGCCCCCCAAACGCAATTCCGGGGAAGTTCCGCGCGAAGGAAAAGCTAGGTGACACGAGCCCCGGCTACAATGCGGCCGCAGAAATACGAGCGGATTCTTCGAGGCGGCGGCTGAAAGCCGCAATTTTATCTGCAATTGCGGCCCACGAGTTCGCTTCGAAAGTATCCGCAAACTCGTCGGCGAAAAGGCGGCGGCGCGGGGGAGAGACGAGGCGCGCGACCGGCGAAGATTAGAGCGTCGGTCGACGCGGTTCGACGGTAGCCGGCGGGCGAGAGGGGCCCGCTCGATCTAGCCGTGACAAAAGGATCGAGAGTAGCGGGCGGGAGGATCGAGGGAGAGGAATCGAGGAAAGAACGGCGGACCGCCGGAAAATGGAACGAGACAAAGCGATCGTTCCGCGTCGAATCGACGCTCGATGCTCGGCAGCTTTCGACTCGCCGTCGTCAAAGGACGAGGATCGAGCCGCAGGAAAGAACGAGGACTACCCGCGATCCGGGGAAGTTTCGCGGAGCCGAGCGGAATTCCGGTGAAAGGGGTGAGATTCGCGCGGAACGGGAAACAAGGGAACGGGGCACGGACGGGATTGATCGTCGGACGGACGAAATAACATTCCGTCGAGGGGAACGCTCGATACGAGCATTCGATTAAACGTCCTCGGTATTTTATTTCCGAGTCGCCATCTACGATCGAGAGATCACCGGAGGGCGGAGGAGGGGGATCTTCTTTTCTTCGCCGATGAAAGAACGGCGTAATAGAAAATCGCGAGGACGTCGACGGTCGCCGGAAATTTTCTATTTGTGTTTTGCGGCTATTATCGATGATTGAAGGGATAAAGGGGAGGCTCTCTTCCGGCGGGATGGAGTAATGGAGACGGCTCTGTTCCGCGAAAGAACGCCTCGATCACGTTTCGACAAATTAAATGATCGTCGCTCGTGCCCCGGCATCCCGAGGAGCGGTTCCGTCCCTTTGCCGTGGCGCGCCGGGACGGGGGAGACAAAAGGGAGGCGCTTTTCGAACAATGTGACCGGCTCGTTAACAAACCGGTCGACGGTGTTCCCGGGTAATGGAACTTTTCGACGGTGTCGGGTTTAATGATCTTCGTACGGTAGGTGAATGGGAATCGGGGGATTCTATGGTTCTTTTACTGATGAGGATTGAGGATTGAAGAGTCTGGTGGAGTGTAATGATGAGTTGATTTATTGTTTCTTCTGGGGCTGATTGCTTTGGTGATCGGTTCATTGGGTTTTCTGCGATTAGGGAAGGATTTTATAGGGACGGAAAAATTGATATTGATGGGAATGTTTTGTTTAGCAGGGTTTCTGGTGGGACTTGGATGTTAATTAATTATTGTAATGGAAAGTTTGAGATTTGTTATGGTCTACTCTGTTTCAATTTTTTGTAAATATTTTCTATTACATTCGTTGTCTATATTACTATGTGTTTATATCTCTACATCTCTATATTTCTATATCTCTATATCACTAAATCTCTAAATCTCTAAATCTCTATATCTCTATATTTCTATATTTCTATATTTCTATATTTCTATATTTCTATATCTCTGTATCTCTATATCTCTAAATCTCTAAATCTCTATATCTTTTCTATATT